TATAATAAATATAATATAATATATATTAATATATATAATAATATATATAATATAATAAATTATATATTATAATAATTAATATATTATTAACTTGAAAATTACTTGTTGTTTTGACTTTAAATTAAATACTAATAAGATTAACTATAAATTATTTAACAACTTGAAATTCCAGACGAATGTTTCTCACCACTCGTAAAACATGATCCATATGTTAATAGTATATGTAAACACGTGTTACCCCCCCTCCCTAACCCCAACCCTCTTCTTCTCCTCTTTATAAACTAAAACCAAGTTATCTTTTTCTCTTTCTTTTTCTCTGACAAGTGGATCTGTTTTTTAACATTGAAAAGAAGAAGTATACGGGTGAGTGGTTTTTACAGAATGCTTTGAAAGGTTACAGTCTCTCATCTGCACTTGAATCTTCTTGAAAAACATACGAGGGGTAGATAATAATACGTAAATAATTTTGATCCTTAAATATCATAAGATACTTAATTATTTCAATAATATGATATTAATTTTTTATCAGTTTTGTTCGTATTTATAAATTAAAAAAAGGATCTGTGTGTTTGTTATGGAAAATATTTCTTTGTTTTTTTTTTTTTTTTTTTTTAATCATTTATTTCTCATCAATCAAGTTTTCTTTATAAAAGCTCGAGAAATATAGGACACATATACATGTACATGTTGCATACACATATATATATATGTTGCATAATTTTGTATGGAAATGAAATTACACGTGTTAGATAGTTGATATCGTAAACGAAGCACGGTTCGATGAAAAATCAAATTATTTCTTCACGATTAAACCTTTTAACTTAGATGCAACAAGGATCTTTTATTCGAGCATGAAAATATGGAAAATTATCCAAAGTAATATTAAATCCATTGAATAGAATTTTCTTCAGTGTTTTATGCATAACACTTTTTTTTTTTTTATTGAAATAAAATAATATTACCACTAGTTATACCACCATTTTCTACCACACTAGTCAAAATGACTGTGGTGTATACAAAAAAATGCTTTTTGAGGCTTTCAGTCTTTATTTATTATTCTTAAAAAATAACAAAAAAATGTTGAACAATAATAATTTTAATAGATAAATGAATTTATAGACATTTTTATATAACAAAACGCTTAATGCAAAATGATTTACAGAAATCAAATGTTACATGAAGTTGAAATTTTGAATTAAAATGGCTCGTCTGGTATGTCTAGTGTTAATATGCAATTTAAAATTATAATCAACAACAATAATAAATAAAATTTAAATACTTGAGCGTAATATTTTTGTTTAATTACAAATCGTACTTTCATTTCCGTACAAAATTTATTTCATTTAATATCAAATTTAAAATAACATTTGTACTTACGCACATATTTGAATTACAATTAAAATGAATTTTCATTTGAAATAATTATTCCTTACGAGATATTAAAAATTACATTTTATTATCTTCATATTTTTGAAATAAAACAACCCTATAGGGAATTTAGACGTTGTACGAAGAAAAGGAAATGAACTTTCGCACGAATTCCGATAATTTTCTCACTCGTGGGTGGAAAGACCCATCCGGAAATATATTTATGTGTATGTTGGATATCTCTGTGTGTGTATGATGTGTGAAAGAAGTAGTCACGCCTACACGCAAACATGTAGTATTACTCACACCAACATGTAAAGCAAATATTAGATTAGAAAGATTCGAACGTTGAAAGATCGAGTTCAACAATTTCTTTTCATTTTATTTTATTTTATTTTATTTTATTTTATTTTATTTTATTTTATTTTATTTTATTTTATTTTATTTTATTTTATTTTATTTTATTTTATTTTATTTTGGTAATAAATTATTAACCTATTAACTAGGTGGGACGTATAAATACGTCAAACGTATTGCTTTAATGCTAAAGGTACTAACCTTTATTTTTTATATATAAATAAACGAAAATATATATATATATATATATATATATATATATATATATTTCACATATTTTTTAAATTTATTTTAAGCATAAATAATAATAAATAATAAATAAATAATAAAAAGAGCTGAGTAATTAAAAAGGGAACTCCCCGGTTAACAGGTTAATTAATCTCACGTGTAAGTTCGTGTACGTTGCACAAGTAAAATTAAATAACACGTCTATGATCGTTTCATTTAAAAAATAATATTAGATCTAGCAGAAAATTTTGTCCATTTTTAAAATAAAATAAAATAAAATAAAATAATAAAATAAATTATTCATTATTTGACAAATTAATTAATTGAACTACTTTTGAACTCTTGTCAATATGGTGGCAATTTGTATATTCCATTTTAAGAAATGGAATAGGGATCCTGTAGGAGGGATGCGCCATTCATATTCAGCTCATGTGCCATTGGCTGAAAATTTAGGGGGACCGCTTGAATTTATAATAATTTTTTCGTGTAACCAATTCTATTTTAATATAAATTTTTAATTATCATTAAATATAGTTCATTTTTTTTCTGTATTTGATGCAATTCATTATTTCATAATTATTTCAATATTTGAATCATTCGCGCGCAAAATCGAGTTCCGGTCCCGCAGCAATGTACATGGCGCATCCCTCCTACAGGATCCCTAAAATGGAATAGGCCTTACCCCTCCCTAGTGACGAAAAATTGAACTACCGGAAAATTCTGTCCATTTTTTAAATAAAATAAAATAATAAATTATTCCTAATTTGAACAATTAATTAATTGAATTACTTTTAAACTTTTGTCAACATGGTGGCAATTTGTATATTCCATTTTAAAAAATGGAGCCTTACCTCTAGTGACGAAAAATTGAACTAATATTTGTTTGAACGGACAGAATGTTCCGGTAGACTCCAAAAATTAATTGTATTATTATAGTATTATTTTATTGAATATTTCATTTACAATTTATTAAAAGAGAACAAGAAGAAGAAGAATAAAATACTTGTTATATATAAAAACAAAGTTATCTTCTTTAAAATATAGAAAATATTATAATATGCCAACATGGTGGCAATTTGTATATTCCATTTTTAAAAATGGAGCCTTACCCCTAGTGACGAAAAATTGAACTAATGTTTGTTTGAACGGACAGAATTTTCCAATGGGTCCCTAATATTAATTGTATTATTATTATGGTATTATTTTATTGAATATTTCATTTACAATTTATTAAATTAAAAGAAAACAAAAGGAGAAGAAGAATAAAATAATTATTATATATAAAAATAAAGTAGTTATCTTATAAAATATAGAAAATATTGATATGCTTGAAGAGTTTTGCTTCTCATCCCATACTTTCGTCGATTATGCGTATCCTAAACAAAAAACTACATACTTTCATCGCATTAACGCGAAAGTAAGACGACGTACAGTTTCCTTCGATTATTCTCCATAGAAGAACGCATCTATTTAAAAAAAAAAGTGAAATAAAACTAAATCATCAAAAGAAAAAAAAAAAGATATAAAATGAAGTGAAAAAAAAAGGAAAAGAAGTTGAGAATTAGAGAAGCATGAGAGAAAACCAGTGGCCCAATGAAAATATCTCTAATGTTTTATAATTCTATATATATATACGATAACTTTCCAATTTATAATACCGTCATGCGAACCTTGTATTAAATACCAACAGAAATATTTTTTTTTTATTAATTTCTTTTATATTACACACATTGATTATTCCATTTTAGTAAATTTTCACATAATTAAGAAAATGAATTCTCATAGGGGGAGGGAGGAAGGGAAAAACGTTCGAATTATTCGTGAACGCATACTTTAGAAAGTTTTATTTGAATTAAACAAAATTCATTCATTAAAAAAACTCACAATTTCGTTTCAATTACATTTGCAACGTATGCAAAATAATTTTTTTTTCGTCTTTGTTTATAATTAATGAAATTAATTATTATTATTATTATTAACACTAAATTTACGGATGTATTGTTAAATATTTTTTAATGACTTAAAAATATTGTTTTTAAATGAAGGATTGAATAGAGGTTAGGAATTAATATTTAAACATATTTCATTACGTAACTAAAAAACAAAATATATTTTTGAAAAATAATATTTAAATTTTATATGTTATATGTATCAAAAAAATGAGAAATGAGTCAAATTATAGCTCAGTTCGTAAATCTAGTTTTGACATTAACACTAGATATACCACCATTTTCTACCACACTAGTCAAAATGACTGGTGTATACAAAAAAAAAATGCTTTTTGAGACTTGCAGTCTTTATTTACTCTTAAAAAATAACAAAAAATGTTTAACAATAATAATTTTAATAAATAAATGGATTTATAGACATTTTTAAATAAACAAAACGCTTAATTATTTACAAAAATCAAATGGTTACATGAAGTAGACATTTTGAATTAAAATGGCTGGTCTGGTATATCTAATGTTAAGAACTCGAAAGTTCATTGCCATAAATATAAAATTCATAAATAAAATTAATGTTAGGATTAAATCGAAATGAAAATTGATATGATATAATCGATAACAAATGATAGTAAAATTCATTATATTAGAAATTATGGTTATAGTTAGTTAGGCTTGCAAAAATTGCGGTTGGTCGCATTTTCGTTCATATTCGCCAAGTTATATTTGTTACCCCTGTGTGTCATTTATCTCCGCCTACGGCCTAACTTTGTATTATTGCGGAATGTGCAAAGGAGAGTTGTGACTAAATATTTCTTCATTTTTTTTTTTCTTCCTGTTACTTTCTTTTTTCTTGTGGCCCCCTTTTTTTAAAACCCCCATCGTCGTATCTCTCTTGTCTCTGCACTCGCGGTATTTTTATCGCGAGTTAAGAAAATCTTTCGAAACTTTACGTGTCGCAATGGCGCAATTTTTATTTAATAATAAATAAAAATATATTACGAGGAACGTATAAAGTAATCAAAATTTCTTCAATGTGTACAAGTACACAAGTACACACAGGTAGTTTTTGTGAAAAATTTTATTGTTGATTAACATTTAAGATTTCTTTAATAAATAAATGTTTTTTTTTGTATTCTTCAGTAAACAAAATTTTGATTACTTTTTGCTACAAATAATATTCTTCATTAAATTTATATTAATAATATCAATTTAATGAAGAATAATATTTATTAAAATAATAATATAAATTTATGCATTTTAGTTTTACTTTTTATTTTTTTCTGCTTTTTTATTTTATTTTATTATATTTATATTTATAATTACATTTTTATTTGTCTGACATTCCATCTTTTTTTTTTTCCTTTTCTTATTTATTTTCACAGAGTCACGAAATGTTTCGAAACAGTTGATTGCATTACGAAGATGCATTTAAAAGATGCATTTACGTTCGTTCTACAATTCTAT